TTCTGATTGGGTTAACCTCAACAACACTAACTTCTGATTGGGTTAACCTCAACAACACTAACTTCTGATTGGGTTAACCTCAACAACACTCACAGAAACTCCTTGGTTTGTTTGTTTTGTTTTATTTTTTGTCAAAATGTGTTGTTGTTTTTATCTTGTTTCAATTTTCGGCCCTTGGGGGTAAAAAAAGGGGCCGGGGGGGGGGGAATTTTCACTCCCGCTCGACGATATCAAATGTTTTACATCAATATTGAAAAGAAACGTGCTCTCAAAGGACAGTGAGGGAAAAAATGCAAGAGAGCACAGTTTTACGTTTGTGTATTTGACAAAGACTTTCAAGGCTGAACTCAATTCAAAGAGCGTTAAGCGATGTTCGGAGAGGGTGTAAGGTTAGTTTTAAGCAGGGGTAGACAATTTCCTAAAAGCCATTCGTAATGAGCCTCATAGTTATCTGCTCTTTGCTCTGTGGAACTCAAAATTGAAAATGTTTTTTTAATTTTTTTAATTTTTTTAAAGTCAACAGTAAAAACTGAAGTTGAACCTTGTGGTTAATGATTGCATGCTGAACGCGCCTAATTTGCAGGTTACTAGTAGCTTCTTTTTTTTTTTAATGTATCGTTTTCAACAGGGACGGTTACGACAACACAGCCCTACATCTCGCCGCCGCTGGAGGTTGCAGCGACTGCGTCCAGTTCTTGTTGTCTGTGCGAATAGAAATCTTGGACTGTTGCAACAAGAACAGGGTAAGACATCTTTGTCTGTCGGAACAGAACTCTTGGACTGTTGCAACAAGAACAGGTTAAGACATCTTTGTCGGAACAGAACTCTTGGACTGTTGCAACAAGAACAGGGTAAGACATCTTTGTCTGTCGGAACAGAACTCTTGGACTGTTGCAACAAGAACAGGTTAAGACATCTTTGTCGGAACAGAACTCTTGGACTGTTGCAACAAGAACAGGGTAAGACATCTTTGTCTGTCGGAAGAGAAATCTTGGACCGGTGCATCGAGGACAGCCACGCGGTAAAGTACGACATCTTGTCAGCTCCAGCAAGAGCATTCTTGTCATGAGTTTAAAAATTAGTCGGGCGCAGCTTGATGCGTTATGTTCAGTTTCAATTTGTTAATTTAGTGTCTTCTGAATTTGAGGTTCACAACTTCTCTTGTGGCAACAATTTTCTATACATAAAAACATTTTGTTTAAAAAACATGTAGGTCTTTCTAACAGATCATCGATGTGTTCTTTCTAACAGGACACAGCCCTCCACATAGCGGCCAGAAATGGACACGCTGAGCTGGTCACGCAGCTGCTAGTGTACGGGGCAAGGATAATCTACAACCAAAGCGGTCGCTGCTTCTTTGATGACGTCATTGAAAATGATCACGCCGACGTCGCCGCGGCAATAGTGGAGAGTGACAGGTGAGGGAGTGACAGGTGAGGGAGTGACAGGCAGAAAAGGGACCGGTGAGATGGTCACAAGTAGGCGGGGACAGGATAGTGAGTGATAGTCACAGGTAGGAGGGGGCACAGGTAAATGATTGATAGTCGCAGGTAGGAGGGACAGGTGAGAGAGGGAGAGGTAACAGAGTGAGAAATTGACAGGTAAGAAAGTGAGAAGTGAGGGAGTGACAGGCAGGAAAGTGACAGGTGATATAGTCACAGGTTGGAGGGGACAGGTGAGAGAAGGAGAAATTGACAGGTAAGAAAGTGACAGGTGATGGAGTGACAGGCAGGGAAGTGACAGGCGACAGTCACAGGTAGAACGGGGCAGGTTAGAGAGTGACAGGTAAGAGTATGAGAGATTGACAGGTAAGATAGTGGCGGTATGAGAAGAATAGGTGATACAGGAGAGAATGACAGGTGGAAGAATCTTCCAAATTGAAGGAGAAAGGGTCAGCAAAAAGTTGAAAAGTGGTTCTGTATGTTTTGAAGTCTGCAACATGTGATCGAATTCTTCCTGCAGCTTTGCAATGCCATCAGT